CCGGCGCTAGCCCGGCCCTGCCCCGGGCTGAGCGCTCACACTGGCGGAGCCCGGTGGCCAAACTCCAACAAGTGCCGCCGGGCGGGCGAGGTGCGCTCCTCAGGCTCCAGGGTTCCCGAGTCTCCAACTTTAAGTACTGGTCTCCCCTGCTCATATGCATCACAAAGGTGCTGGAAGCCGGCCAGGGACTGCTGTTTTGCACGGACATTGGTTTAAACATCACTCCTGGCACCCCAGATTTTGGAGCGATCCCAAAGAGCCGCTTCCGTGAACTTAACTTGTCCTCGCTGCGGGATGGAGGCTGAATTTCACTGCAGGGAGGCAGGGGCGCACAAGGGTCAACAAAGATGGCCTAGGGAAAACGGGCTTTTAAATAAACGCGGAAGACTAAGCCGGGAGCGGGCTGATTCTAGTGTGCTGCCTCCTGTGCCCACGCCAGACTTCAATCTATCTCTGTCTCTCTTTCTGCTCGATTCACTCTCCTTGTTGTCCAGAAATGTGTAGTGTGTACACAGAGTGACCCTGGGGAGGACTGCTCTGCGACTGATATGGCAGAGAGAACGGGTGTGCGGTTGCACATGCAGCCAGCCACAGACAGCTATATTTAGCAGCTGCAGGAACTACAGGAGGCATGGGAGGGGGTTCTATATATTAAGAGATACATTTTGTAAACAGTAAAACGCTGCCAGACTTTGATTTCTTCGGCTTCCAAAGGCTGCCAAAGTGGTAGCTTACACTCACAGCCTTCTGAGGTTCTCCCAGCCTGACTTTTCTGTTTACGTTGGACCACGGTTCTGTACTTGCTCCTTTAGAAATTCTCATGTGAATGATGATTCAGAAAAACCTTTGGTTGGGCACACATGGGGGTTCATGCCTTCCACAGGTTATGCAAGGAAAACTTTAGGAAAGTGAAGATGAAATGCAGTCTTTTTATGCATAACCTCAGGTCTTTAACCCAAACTTGGGAAATTATGTTATGCGGTCTAACCAGGAAATTTTCAAATGCATGTCAGTAGTTCAGTTCTTTAGTTCTCCAGGTGGACCTTCTAGGTGCACTTGAGGTAGGTAAGATATGCAGAATCAAATATCCAAGTAAAAAAGAAATAAAGAAAAGTTTTAAGCTCAATTTAATTAAAAGCCAGCAGTGATTTTAATTAATGAGACAAAAGGTTTAAGTGTATTATAACCCAAATCTTTTATCATTTTTAATGAAGTTCCTTTGCTCCAGCATAAAAGCCTCTGATACAACCATTAATAATACTTTAATTGCTATCCCAAGCACTCGGAAGGCTACATGACCAAATGTTCATGGCATAACATAAATGCCAAGGTTGTAGCTACTAACACTAATATTTTAAATATTTTATAATGAGCATATGCTTTATCTAATTCTTTTAAAAGCAGACTATTTCTGGGTGATATGCAGATGAGCTGATTTAATATAAAGCCAAAATTGAGTTTCACATCAATTACTATAGATCAGAAGCAAAGAAAGGGTTAAAAACACATTAGGTGAATTGCAGATATTCCTGGTGATGGCCAGCAACCATTACTTTCCAGAGCAATATTTTTTACAGATGATTTAGTTTCTGTAAATCACACTTTCAATTTTCAAATGCCTTTTTAAAACACATGCAAAAACACTTCATAAGGCTCTTTAAAAATCTGAGTCTGCCAAATTATATGTAAATGGTACAAAGACTCCTACAAGTCCTGAAAGAAAAGGGACACAGGAGACACACATATTCCTTTCCTCTCATGTAAAACAGCACATCCTCATCTCCCTGCTAGGATCAGACATTGGCCAGGAAGGTAAGAGTTGCTTTCTCAAAAGGCTCAAGCTACAGAGAGAGAAATCAAAACAATCATACCCTGCTGGATCAAGAGCGTGTTCCAGAAATGTTCCATGGGCTTGTAGAAGTCAAAGTCCGAGACAGTGAGAAGGAAGGAAGGAATGCGCTCGCATGTTCGAGTGGCTCGGTGTGTGATCCAGGCAGAGCGCGTGTGGATGTGTTTGTGTGTGGAATGGCAGGACTCGGGAAGCAACCAGTAGGCAGGGCACTTGGCAGCCCCTCCCGGCGGACGCAGCAGCTGGGCTGCTGCTACAGGGAGCTGGATGAATGGCAGAGGGAGAGAGGAGCGACTTGCAGTGTGGCTGCTGGAGTAAGCAGCACTGGGGGAAGACGCTCCAGACTCCCGTGCTCCCCACCTGTGGAGCCCAGTGGAAGAATGCCCCATGCTTTCTGACCCATCCTAGGCAGAGGGGGAAGCAGCCTGGCTGTAAGTCAGAGGTTTACGGCAAAAATAGAATGCCAGTCCAAAGTGTATGAAGAGTAAGTTTACAAAATGTGCTGGGTGGTTTTTCAAAAAAAATATATACAATTTAACCAGAAAAGCCTTCTGGGACGCACTACAATCAAATGTCTCGCTGCCCTGGCCCCCAGAATTAAACAGACACACAACTGTCATTGCCATGCCTCTAGTGGCACAAGGAAATCAGACTTTGGAACAAATGTTTTTGCATTCCAGGGATGTATTTCCATACTCCTCCACCTCGTGAACCAGACCCACAGACCTTTCCACTAATAGCTCATTGGCTGCTTTCTGTAAACATGTGGGAAAATAAATTATTTAAATCTTAGTGCATAAAGATAAGACAAAGATGATTACTTTTATACTGATGATGGGGAGAAGTCTCTCTCATACTTGATGGTGCCTACATAGATCCACACCTGGACCTCAACTTTTCTTTTTGCAATGGAATAACGCACTGAGATAAGGTGCTTCTAAGGTCCCAGGACACTAGATGCCTACCAAAGCCTTTGTGGTCAGACATTAGTCACTGCTTTGGGTATTAAATGATTCTAAACACAGTGCCAGGAGTAGCCCATCTCTGGCTTTTGCACCTGGTGCAGTTACCAAGAGATTTATGGGCAACTTTTTAAACCAGTACCAGAAAGAAGTAGAAAGTTAGAAAAAAATGTTAATGATGTCATAATGCAAATATATATTTCTGTGCTTTGAAAGACTCAAGATAATGCAGTTTTGGAACACACAAGAGCTCCCATCACAATCAGCAATGATAATAAATATTGAATGTAAATAAATCTTGAGGACTGAGTTATAACTCAGTATAGAGTATTTGCCTAACATGCAGGAGGCCCTCGCTTCCATTCCCAGCACTGCATAAGGAAAGAAAGAAAAGAAGGAAGTGAAGAAGGAAGGAAGGAAGCGAGGGAGGGAGGGAGGAAAGATTATTATATTTTGTTGGTGACAATGGTGAATCTTGGTGACAGTAGCTCTTCCTACATGTCAACAAAGGACACCTGTGCATGAAACCAGTCCAAAATGAAACAAGAGTATGCAAGGAAGGAGGCAGAGGGAGAGGAAAGTGTGGGGGAGGGAAGAAAGAGGGGAAAGAAATAAGGAGAGAGAAGATAGATAAGGAACCTGGAAATGTTCACCTTTAACATAGGATGAAACACCTCTCTTCTCAGAGACCTTGACTGTAAGAAGTTAAAAATCTCAGATGAAAATCTCACTGTGTTCTTCAGGGCCTGACTTTCCCTCCTCAATGTCAAAGATTTTCAATTCCTCCTGTCCATAGAGACAGTTTTCTAGATGGCTTGCTTTCCAGCAACTGCTTTCAAATCCTTTTTGACCAGCTTCACACTCCAGGCTTGGTGACGGTGGGAGAGCCCAGTACACCATGCAGATTTTCCTCTGGTGCTCCTGAAAACAGTTTCACGCTGAGGCACAGCCCATGTTCCCTCTCAACTCTCATTCTGGGCACCACAGCCTCGCGGGCTGTGACTTACTGGTGTCCTGATGAAGGAAGGTGAGGCCGACTCCTCTAGCTCTGCTGCCTACTGTGTCTCCAGACCCACTTTTCTAACTATTTCCCGGGCCCTACTGGTTTATTCAACTTCAAGTCCTAGTTCTTTCTCCTCTACCATGGTGCTTCCCCCACCCATTTCCCTGTGCACTGAGCTTTATTATCTCTCTGGCCTTCCAGATCAAAATTTCACCACTTTCTTTGAGGACCTGACTTTCCCCGCCTTCCACACCTGACCAAGAAGTTCCTGAGCATCCTCTAGCTTCGCAATCCCTTCCCATTGCATTTCTATTGCTGCTTCTCAGGGCCTCACACCTTCCACCAACCTCCTAAGGCCCTCTCTGCCTCTTTTGCCCCCTGCTTCTTCCCAAATCCTGCTGCCACTTACTTTCTTGGCTTTTCATGGCTTTAGGATCCATTGATCATGATCTAATCTATCTTTAACCCAGAACCAGCTTCCCCAGGCATTCAGGCCTGTAACCACCCTTTCTAGCCTAGTGCTTCCAAAGTGGAGCCTTTGCTTTCACCAAATGAAAACTCAGTATTTGGACATTTCCAAAGCTTTTCTGTTTTTCTGCGCAGAACCCCACTTTTCTAGCTTATCAAGGGAAAGCACCTCCTTTTTTACCCCCCCCCAATACCACTACATCCTTGATGCAGGAGAATTCCTTTCCTCTGAGCTCCAGTGGCAATTCTCATGCATTCATCACATTCTCCCTTTATCCCTCATCCTGCTTTCCAACTGCATCTTAAGGACAGTGTCTGGCTAGAGATATTTAGGGATTTCTGTGCCTAAGAACAGTGCTTGATCACTGTTAGGCCATGAACTACTAGCTAACTTATTCCTTTGGATAATTCAAAGAACAAAATAATGTCCCACCTGTCCAGACAACCATTTCCAAAGCCAACTTTTCATGTGATGTCCTGCCACTTTCAAAGCTTTCGCTTCTAAAGGGTTATCTTTCTATCTTCCCAGTGAATGAGGGAATAAAGTCAAATTTTAAATTGGTACAACCTCGAGGCCTAAGCCTGCAGTCCTTGGCAGCATGATTCACCAGACAGCTCTGTATTTATTTTCAGTTC